AGCCACCCAAGCGCCCCGATTGCTGAGGTCTCAGCATCTATCTGGTTTGCAGGTGTCACTGCAGTAAATTGTTCTACACGCAGCAGATCCGAGGCATCCCCGCCGTCCCCTCCCTCTGGCACACTTGGATGTGGTGTGCAGGAGAGAAGGGGATAGAGGAGCCACCCTGCAGGCCGCAGCTTGGGTCGTGGGGGCCCTCCAGAAGGTCTTGGGCAGAAAGGGGTTGACGGCAGCCATATTTACACAATCCGGAAGCTGTTTTCAATTGCCACGCCTCTGCTCCAGGTGCTGTCCGTGCCCCACCGCCGCCTGGTCTGCTGCAGCCGGCTCTTCGAGGTGACCGATGTGAACAAGCTGCAGAAACAGGCCGCACATCAGAGGGAAGTGTTCCTCTTCAACGACCTGCTGGTGGTGAGTGGACTGGCCAGGCCGGGGCCACCTGCTGCCCCGCTCAGCCTTAGCCCTGACCCCGGGGAGGGGTGAGGAGGGCCCCAGAGACCTCCTTCAGAATGCTATAGCTATTTACCTCTTTCTGTGGCACTTTCACATCCTGGAGGCAGGGAGGTGAGGTTGCTCAGGCAGATACGATCATTCCTACTTTATAAGTTATGAAGCTGAGGCTCGCAGGGACTAAATGATTTGTTTGTGGTTCCACAGTCATGAAGGAAATGAACCAGATCCCAGATCATGTGCCTCTCCCACATTACAGAAAACCTGGGGCAGGAAGAGTATAGGGTGTGCTTCACGCCCCACAGCCAGGGAGGGACAGTGAGCCAGAGTGGGGTGTGCGCTGCCTGGGGCCCAGGGGTGTGTGCACATGCGTGTGCACGTGTGTGTGCATGTGTGTGTGCACGTGTGCGTGTGTGGCGGGGTTGGGGGTACTCATTCTTAGCTCTGTGAAATAGGTGTCCATTGCACAATATTTAATGAGTGTCAACTATGTACTAGGCATTTTTGTAAGTGTGGGGAAACGGTGGTGGACAAGATTGGGTTTCTGTCTTTCCCTAGTACCCCACATCCTCTCTATCCATGAGTCACATCGAGCTCCCTCTAAAATCATCCCACATCTAATGATCCACCTCTGAGGTCCACCTTCCACAGAGCAGCAGAGTGATCCTTCTAGAGTGCACATCAGGCTGTGTGTCTGCCACACTTCCCAAGCTGGGCAAAGGAAGTCCACAGTCCCTGACCTGGGACCTCCTGGATCCCTGGCCTCCTCTCCCTTCCCTCCGCTCCCCTGCTTGTCTGCGCAGGCGCCCTGACCCCACAGGCTGCGTCCCACGGGCCAGGATCCTTCCATCTCAGACCTTTGTTCTTGCTGCCAACCCCCAGACTTTGCCCGGCCACCTCCCTCTCTTCATTCAGGTCTCAATTCAAACATCACCTCCTCCCAGAAGCCCTCCCCGTGCACCTCGGCAGGTAGCCTGCCCAGTCACCTTCTCTTCCTTACCCTATTTCATGTTCTTTAAAACACTCACCAGTTTCAGGAATTACCTTATTCATCTCTTCCTCCACATTGGTTTTTTTCTGCTTATTATGCTTTATGGATTGACCCACTGGTTTACACCCTGAAGGGGCTTCCTCCGGAGCAGCGAGGGCAGGGCTCTCTCTCTCTCTTTCTCCCCCTCTCTCTCTCTCTCTCTCTCTCTCTCATGAGAGTAACCCAGCCATGCAAAAAGCTGCAGGGAGGGTTGTGGACCGGGGCTAACATGTGCAAAGGGCCTGCAGGGGGACTGAGCTCACCCAATTCAGGCCATGGAAAAGAGGACAGCAGGGCTCCAGCATAAAGCCAGAGTGAGGCACGGACCAAACTGGGGGAGGCAGGAAGTGTGGACTGGCTTCTTCTAAGTTCGGTGGGAAGAGCCACGGAGGGGTTTTATGCAGTTAAAAACACCCATATTTTGATATAGTGTGTATTTATATGCATGCATATACATGAGTGTGTATGTGTTGCATACACATATATATCAATGTGTGTATGTGTGTGTGCATATAAATGTGTGTGAATGTATCCTAAGTATACAAGTGTGCACGTGTGTTCACATTTTGTATGTACTTGTGTGTTCCCCAGTGTCCCTGCGTGTTCATGCATCCGAGTGCATGCACACACGTGTGCACCATCAGTGCATGTCTCTCTCCCTCTCTTGAACAGATTCTGAAACTTTGCCCGAAGAAGAAGAGCTCCTCCACCTATACCTTCTGCAAGTCAGTCAGCCTGCTGGGCATGCAGTTCCATCTTTTTGAGAATGAGTGTAAGTCTCCCTCGGACCCGGAGACGTGGAAGAGGCAGTTTGGGGGGAAAGTTGGAGGCTGGAGGGAAGGGGAGGGGGCAAGCACCCCAAAGGCCCCAGCCACTCTCCCCACTGGGCTGGCTCTAGCCTCACCTGCCACTGCTCATGGCCACGGGGACCTGGGGTCTGCTTTCCAGATTACTCTCACGGCATCACGCTGGTGACCCCACTCTCGGGCTCTGAGAAGAAGCAGGTGCTGCACTTCTGTGCCCTGGGCTCGGACGAGATGCAGAAGTTTGTGGAGGATCTGAAGGAGTCCATCGCTGAGGTTACAGAGCTGGAGCAGATCCGGATAGAGTGTAAGGCCGCGGGGTGCCACACGGCGGGGTGGGCAGGTGGGCTCCCCGTCAGCAGGGAACGGAGGCTGTTTGTGGCACAAGTCTGACTCCTTGCCCCACTCTGGAGTGAGTGTGGGGTGAGCCGAGGCCCCTCCTGCCATCCATCCCAAGCCCTCCCCCAGCCCCACTGCGCCATCACGGCCCATGTGGGTGCCGCTGCTGTTCGTGTTTCTTCACAACCAAAGTGGGGGCGCTAGAGCATGCACACCTGTGTGCACACCCAGCCGGGCTGTGGAGCTGCGTGCGGGCCCCTTGGAACAGAGGACCCAGCTGTGTCTGACCAGCGCAGCCGAGCCAGCCGAGCAAGGCAGGCATGCCAACCTCAACGGTCTGTGCACCCGGGCGCCCCTCTTCCCACCGGACTCCTGGGTCAGCCCCTCCCTCTGGACCCAGTCAGACGCACACCTTACATCTGGCTGCTTCATTTCGTTCATCTCTTTTCATCTCGAATCGTCCCCCCACTTTATTTTTTCATGATATGGTCTTTTTGAAGAGTCCAGCCTGGTTTTTTGACTATCCCTCATCTAGGAGTCGTCTTTTGGTTCCTCTAAGGAAGGCCTGGATTCCTGAGTGTCCCAATTCAGGCATTTTAGAAACTACGTGGGCCTCTTTGGAGGGGCAGGCGGTTTGCCAGTTAACTTGGTGGTTGAGGAATAGAGCAGGGCTGGCCCAAAACCCGTGCCCACTCGCCAGCTTTTCCTGCTTTAGCATCGCCCGTGGCTTCAGATTGCCTTTCACGGGAAACTGAATAACTGTGGATTCAGAAACTAGAAGAGCAAACAGATTTCGGGTCTGCCTTCTATGGTCACTTCGTGGAAAAGTGCTTCTCAATTAATATAAAACCATTAGGCAATAGGAAAGGCAGGGGGACTTTTGAGGCAGGGCACCAATAGGACAGGGCGGGGCTTTTTAATCAGCGTTTTTTAGAGCACCCACTATGTGCCAGACAGTTTGTCTGCAGCACCCACAGTGAGGCTGCAAGGTGGTGCTTGTGCCCAGTCTACAGACCAGCCTCAGGGAAGTTACGGGCTGTGTTTAACGTCGTGCGTCTTAGAAGCAGACGTGACACTTGCATTTAGGTCTGCTTCTGAGGTTCCTGTACTTCCTACTCTGACATTGACAAAAGAGATTCCGTGTAAGGAAACAGCTCAATCAGGTCGAAACAGAAGCCGAGCAGACCAGACCGTAGGGCTCAGTAGCGGCTCGGGAGGCAGGGTGGGGGTGTAAATTCCCCTGCTGCACTCTGCTGGCGTGCTTGAGCTCCGCGGCGGGACCGGAGGCTCGGAGATGCCACCTTGGCTGCGGATCTTGAACCTTCTCAAGGACACATCCTGAAAGGTCACTTTGGTCATTGTCAAAATGTTACAGATGGCTCTTCTATTATCTAATCCTTGCCACAACTGTCCACGAGGCAGGTAGGATCGTCCTCATTTTACAAATCAGGGAAGTGAGTCTAACAGAGCTGAAGGAAGTCGTCCAAGTTCATACAGTCAGTGACCACACAAGATTTGCGCCAAGTTCCTCAGACTCCTTGCTTGTAATTAGGATGCTAATTTCTCCGAAGCCAAGCAGCCCCTCTCCAGGGAGGGACGGCCCTCTGCTCAGGGAAAGTATGAAGTATTGACTGATGGTGTGATTCAGGCAGTCAGGACAAACTGTGCTGGTTTGGAGGTTTGCAGTCCAGTGTCCCTGGATTATAGACAACAAGAGACACAGAAAATGGGATCCACAGGCGCGGCTTTAATAAAAGGAACCTGAGTTATGTCTCCTGGAAAAGACACTGAATGAGTGATTTAATCATTCCTGGAACAGGCTTACGGTCTAGTGAGAGGAATCAAGGTCGAGGACAAGGCGGATGCCCTGGGCTTGTGGGCTCAGGCGAGGAATCTCCTCCCCGGGGGAGCTCAGCCGGGTGGGTGGGCTCTGTCTTGCCCGATGCAAGGTGCACAGGCTGGCCGCCACCTGCCGTCACCAGCCCTCACCGAGGTCCGCTGTGCCACGTGATTCGTCCACGTTGTCATAAAAACTAGTATTTACTGAGCACTTGCCATAAGCTGGGCCTCCTTCTAAAGGGCTTTGGTGCATTTCCTCGTGTAATCCTCTTAACAACACTTGGAAGTGGACACTGCTGTCCCCTCACATGAGGCACGGAGAGGTTAAGTAACTTGCCCAAAACCACACAGCTAAGAAGTCCCAGAACTGGGATTCAAACGCAGGCCGCCCGCCGCCCTCCGCTTCGCCTCTTCTGTTGCCTCTCTGACCTTCGGGCAGCTGTTAGCATCCCCACAGACAGATGAAGAAACTGAGGTTCTAGCAGGTCTCTAACTTGCCGAGAAGTGGGTTCCAGACTCAGACCACGTGTTAGAGCATGTGTCAGGGAGCGCCCCCTTCCTGCTCCCTCCTCACTCCTCTCCCATCTCACCGTGGTTGAGGCTAGCTTCCTCTCTGTCTTCTAGGGGAGCTGGAGAAGCAGCAGGGAGCAAAGGCGCTCTCCTTCAAGTCCAGCGGGGCGCAGGTGGACCCGCAGTTGAAGCAAGGATCGCCTACAGGTGAGCCCCTGGTTCCCCTCCAGGGTCCCAGACCCCAGGCCTGGGATGGCCCTGGGCCCACATGGAAGCCACTCTCTGCCCCCAGCCTTGGGTTCCTGGGGAACTGGGAAGTGCTCATTCCCATGGTCACTTCTTTCTGCTCAGGGCTCCAGGCTAATCTCACAGGCCTTAGTAGTGGGAGTGAGGAGGACGGTGAGAGAAGAACGTGTCCATTTACATGCTGCCCTAAGGCCCTGGGTTCCTGTGAAATGTCACTGTCCCCCCTGGAGGAGTTGGGCCAAGAGCCCAGACACCCTGGCCCCAGTCGGGGAGCCTCCTACCCCACCCACCCTGCACCCAGGCTCCCCGGGGACTGCTGGGGTTCACGGGGCGGGGGTGGGTGGTGGTGAGAGGTATAGTAAAGAGAAACAGCATGAGAAAAACTGCTGCCTACAGATGGGAGCCCGGTAAGGAGGGTGGCCAGAAGGGTCTGGAAATCTTGATCTGCCAGTCAAGTCTTTTCCCTAATGAGCCACAAGTGCTCCAGGCCAGAGTCAGCCCACCCCAAAATCCAGATAAACCTTCAAACCCACTTTCCCAAATGGTTTCTTCAAATTGACTTATTCACTCCAGACAAATCAAGCCAGTTTCAGATTTTGTATCACCTCTGGCCATGTTCTCTAGACCTGCTTCCTTTCTCCCACTGACATCTTCCTACTTTCTACCTCTTGGCCCTCGCCTCACCCCCCACCCCCACCCACCCCTCGCAGGGAGCATGGGAAGAGTCACCCCTACCCCCATTCTGCGATCCCAAATAAAAATAGAGGGAGAGATGTCATGAGAATTAACTCCCATCCCAACAGACCCCTAGTAAACCATCCCGAACTGTTCGCTGATTAATTAATTCAGCCATTTATTCTTACATTTAACAAACACTTATGGAGTGCTTGCTGTGTGCTCCCTGCTAAGCACTAGAAGACCAGGCTTCCAGCAAGACAGCAGCTTGAGCCGAGACACTTGGGTGGGTTTCATGCTGGCCCCCCAGCCCTCGGTGACAGCCATGACACCGTGATGCTGGGACAGACGGCATCCCAGCACTCAGTCACTCAGCTAGGAGACGCGACTCCTTTTCCCAGCAAGACCTGGGGCTCCTTTAGCTGCACGGAGGTTCTCACTGTGATGTCATCTTCCACGTGAGGTTTTGACCTGCCATCATGCATTCATAATTCTCCACCCTGCCTGATTTTCCAGCCGGCCCCTTCATTTCTATCAGGTCACAGTACACAGGTCACTACTTGTTTGCACAGCTGTGTAAACTCCGGAGCCAAACCTCAGCTGTGATTAATTATTTGACATCCCACCCCACTCTGCAGCCCAGCTTGCCTCTTTTGGAAGCTGCACCCCCTGGTCAGGCCAGGATGCATGTCTCCAGGGCCTGGTCCATCAGTCACCTCCCCGGTGGGGTTCTCCTCAGTCCCAAACAATGGCATAGCTCCCCCTTGTGCTACAGAAAGCAGAGGGATGAGCACAGCAAGGGAACTTGCGCACATGTGAGCGCATGCGTGTGCACAACATGCACACACGCACGCGTGCACACAGTGTGTGAGCAGTCAGAGGGGCTCTGGGAGGCCTGCTGAGGGTGAGGGTGGCAGCCAGGAGTGACTGTCCCTGGAGGAGACACCCCACCACGCTGTCCCTGGAGGTCCGCGGGCTCCCTGGTGCTGTGCCAAGCCAGTCCCCTAGCGTCACACAGCCACGCTTCCCATGCCAGGCCCTGTGGTGAGTGCTCTACGGGCCTCAGTTCGCTGAATCCCTGCCAGGGAGCTGAGTAGCAGGGATAAGAACACGGGCCCTCTCTCAGGGAGCCTGTGGTTGAAAGGGACAGGTTAACAGCAGAGCCTCCTTGTGTGTCTGGGAGCCAAGAACCAGTGGCCCCTCAAAACCGACTTTCACTGTCCCTAACGGGGAGGCTTTGACTGTGGGTAAACGAGACTCAGCAGTGCTCCCTTAAAAACCCTCGGAGATCTTCTAGTCTGCATGCCCAAGGTCACACAGCTACCAAGGGGCAGAACTGGGCTCCGCCTTTTGGTCCACCGCCCCGGGGGCTGCGTCCCAGTCAGGAGTGGCCTGGTACCCAGAGTCTTCTGTCCACACCGGCTAACTGCAAGGATGCTTGGTATCGGGGCCAGAGCAGGGGGGCGGTGGTTGGCGAGGCAGGGATTTGTATTGGGCCGGGTAGAGAGTGAGCCCTGTGCTCTTTGCATTCAAAGCCAAAAGGGAAGCCGCGCTGGGGGAGAAGCCGGCGGAGAGCACGGTGGAGGTAAGTGGAGGCCTGGTTGCCCAGGTGAGTGCTTCCGAGCCCCCGCTTGTCCTTCTTCTCATTGTCTCTGTTGTTTCTCTTCTCAGGTATTAATCAATGCCTCCCCAGCCCGACTCACCATTTTACCAATTTCAAGAGATACAATTAAACGTTACTGCTAGCATGGGTAATGCCACTGTCCCAGCGCCTAATTAAGCCACAGCTCTTTCTGCCCATCCCCCAGCCGCGTGCCCTCCGAGGCCGAGCTCCCGGGCTGACACCTGCACATGATGCCCATGGCGCCTCCAGAGCCGCCTCGCCCAGAGCCCCCCAACCCACGCCCCCAGCACACTGCTCACTGATCCCCTCATGCGTGCCCTATCAGGGAAGCCACCAGTCCCTTCCCCCCTGGTGCATCTGTCCTCCATAGCAGGGAGCCTGGGCCCCTCCGGACACTCACCCCTTGAGTCCAGCCCCAGGGACCACTTCGGGCTCGGACCCTGCCCTCCCTGCCCCTCTTGGGGCAGTCGGAGAACTGAGACAGGGGGCAGTTGAGCGCTGGGAGCTCCTCCCTGGGGTGTATGCCAGAGCCAGTGAGGCAGAGCTTAGGGATTTCCCTGGGGCGAGTGCAGACGTGTCTGAAGACTGTCGACTGGGAGGGGGATACCCCAACCCCAAGCCACATAGGGAGAGGCTGGGGAGGGAGCCGCAGCAGTTAGTCCTTGCCAAGCTCCCAAGTGTCACCTGGGGGCACATTCAGTGGCCCCTATAAGCTTCACTGGGCCACAGCCCTCCCCCACTGCTCCCCTCCCACCCCAGTGAGCCCCCCTCCCCCGCTCCTCTGCCAGGCCTCTAGGGACGACTAGCTTCTCACACACAGACACCTCCTTTCCCAGCCCCACCCCAAGCTGGAGGAGCCCCCACTTAGAGGGAGGGAGGGAGGAGCCTGCCCACCAGGATACCCCAGGGAAGCCCAGTTTCTTCCCTCTTTTCCCATGGCCCCCCACCCCCCACACACCTGTGTCTGGAGGAGGCACCTTTACACGGAAGAGCTTCCTGCCCCAGCAGCTGACAAGCCCCCAGGGTGGGTATTCCATCCCCTGCCCCCTCTTCTCCCCATCTTCTTGCAGCTGCCCATTCTCTAGCCTTGCAGATAAACACACAAAGCTCCCAGCCGTCCAGTTTGTTCTCCCAGCTCTGCCCTGCCTTAGCCTGGCCTACCTAGGGCGCACAAGCGATCTGATGGCCGGTCCTCCCCTCCCACCCTGCCAGAGGGCCATGTGGCTATCTGCAAGGCTGCCAACCCCAGCTAGCCCCGGGGCCCTGCCAGCCTCGCTGCCCCCAGGCTCTCAGCTAGACCCTAAGCTCTCTTGTCCTCTGCCTTCTCTCCGGCACTGCCTGGCCGAGCCCCTCTGGCAGGCGCTTCTCCATCTTCTCTGAGCTGTTCTGACCTGCTACTCATGATCCATCCTCTCTCTCTCTTCACCTTCTCTCTCCCTCTTTCCATTCTTTCATTAGCAGGGAGGTGAGAAGGGGGTCAGAATGAATGTTTGGCTGTCACTTTCTGCTTCTCACTTATGGACCATTAAAGATAAGGGATCCAGGCTGGGGTGAAGAGGAGGGAGGTGCAGTCAGTGGGAGGGGCGGGGGATCAGAAAGCAAGAGGCGATGAGGAGGGGAAGATGAGCCAAGAGCTGTGGGCTGCACTGGGGAGGGGTGCAGGTAGGGAGGAGGAGAAAGAAGTCCAGTGGGTCTGGACTAGGGCAGCTAGACGTTAGCTGTAAAATCTGGGGGAACAGAAGGCCTGCCCCCACTGTCTAGGCCCCTTTTCTCCTGGGGAATAACTCAGAATACATGCAGGTGGGGAAAGGAGCCGGTTGCCTCCAGCAGCGGTAGGCAGAGGCCTTCTGCCAGAGTGAGGGCCACAGAGGGCTCCCCAAGGGCAAGGTGGGCCCCAGCTATGCCTTCTGCCTGCTCTGTGTCTCAGCAGGGCACTGAGGGACTGGGGGGCTCCTTCATTTGATTGGGGGGGTGTGGATCTCAGCCTAGAAAATGCTGCCAAGGCTGGAGGCTGAGAGTGAAGAGGAAAGCCTCCAGTGTGCTGAGCACAGCAGGGTTTGTGGATATTGAAGGGGCAGACAGAACTGGGGTTTGGGGGACTGTGGAGAGGGAAGCAGCCCATGGGGGGTGCACAGGCCCAGAAGGGGGGTCCAGGAAATTGCACCTTCTGCCAAGGAATAGGGTTAGGATCTGCTGGTGTAGGGCTCCGAGATAGTTTTGAGCTGGGCATCTTGGTCTAGACTTGGCAATCAAGGCCCCTTCCCTGCAGCCTCGACGTCCCCCTCTGTGCTCTGAGCAACCCGTCCTGGGTGGTGGTGCCCAAAGACAGTAAGATGCATCCTCAGAGTGAAGGGTCTCAGCCACTGCAGAGGGCCAGGTGTTAGAAGGGGACTGTGGCATGTCATACCTATAGCCTTGGGAGCTGAAGGGTGAAGAACTAAACACATCCACCCCCCCACCAAAGGCTCTAGCTCCCTTCCTCCCATTTCCTCAACCTCCCCCTGTTAGCAAGAGGAGGCCGGGCTTGTTCACAGTGACCTCCATGGGTCGAGGGAGGGCGTAAAGATTAGAGTCCTTTCTGGGTACCCCCTCCGGCAGTGGGACAAATTTAACCAGGATGAAGCCTGGCCCAGAAAGGCAGCTGAGGACTGAGCTCTGGCCTTGGCCGTCTGGGCTGCTTTCAGATTCATGGTTTTGGCCTTGGGGAAATCTAGGAGGATAGGGTAGGTCCAGATGGCCCCTTCAGGGGTCCAGGGCATTCTCTGTTTGGGCGCCAGGGAAGCTTCTCCTTTAACAAAGGGAGGAGGGGGCTTGCGAGGCTCAAAGATGATCGACCATCCCTGTGTCTGGTGTCCGTTTGTCCTCACCACAGCCCGGGGAGGCAGGGAGACGGCAAAGATCATTACCCTCTTTTCCAAGCTCAGAGGTTGGTAGAGAGGGGCGTGGAGAGAGGTTTACCTGTGAGATGTGGCTGCAGAGGCCTGCAGAGTCCTAGGGGCCACTGGGCCAGGTGTCCATCTCACAGGTGAGGAGCCAGGCCTGAGAGCCGAGGCTTCCCCCTCCCCCCGACCACACCCGGGCTGGCACTTCTATTCGGCAGCCGGGGTTCCTCCAGGCCCGTGCGGAAGCGGCTGGCGGCTCAAGGGGAGGGCTCGGAGCAGCCGAGGGGCACAGGAGACGAGACAGGGCTGGGAAGGGAGGCTCAGGGTAGCCAGTCCTAGCAGCTGGGAATTAGTCCTGTAACATTTCACGCTTCTCTGGCTGTTTCTAAACTAGGTGTCAATTCACAACAGGCTTCAAACGTCTCAGCACAGCCCCGGGCTGGGGGCCGAGAGGGGAGCGCCGGCGCCATGGCCAGACCCGCAGCCTAGCCCCCTGAGGGAGCAGCCCCCGCCGCTGCCGCAGCTGCCACCCACGCCCCCTGGGACCCTGGTGCAGTGCCAGCAGATTGTCAAGGTCATTGTGCTGGACAAGCCCTGCTTGGCCCGCATGGAGCCCCTGCTGGGCCAGGCCCTCTCCTGCTACGCCTCGTCCTCCTCCGACCCCTGTGGCTCCACACCCCGGGGTGGCCCGGGCTCCCCGGGCAGGGCCATGCACCAGCCTCCGCTGCCCCCGCCCCCACCCCCCTACAACCACCCCCACCAGTACTGCCCGCCCGGGTCCCTGCTGCCCCAGCGCCGCTACTCCAGCGGCTCCAGGAGCCTGGTGTAGACTCTGCCCCGCCCAACCCCGCGCTCATGTCCCTGGGAGGGCTGGCCGCCGGGGGCGGGGGGCTCAGCTACAGCCAGCAGCCCCAACCGCCCCTTCGCTTGCTGCTCCCCACGCCTGGCACGATGCACTCCTGGTCACTGAGCACCATCGTTTTGGAAAGAGAGCCTCAGTCCCTGGCACCTGGGTTTCACCTCGCCCCAACATGCTTCCCTTGTCCGAGCACCCCTCTCCCTAATCTGGAGATCCCACCTCACTCTCCTGGGGCCCGACACAGCAAGGCACGTCCAGGCCTCCTCTTCCTCCTGCCACCACTCTGGCCACTTGGACCATGGACCGAAGCAAGCAGGAGCCGAGGGCCTAACCAGCTTCCTGGCCCTGAGTCCGTCAGGCCCCAGGCCTCAGGCCGGGTGGGTAATGCGAGGGGTGGGAGGCTTTCTCTGCTGCAGCCCCTAAGCCCAGCCATCTCCCGAGGCTGATCCTCCACCCCCAGGGATGTTGGCTGTCCTGGCCACATCCTCCCCCTCCTGCCAGGGCCTTCTCCCGCTTTCTCAGGAGCTGGGCCCTGCCTGTCCAGGGCTTCTCAGACTGCAGGAAAGTTCTGAGAAACTTAAGAGGGAAAGGGGGACCACTCTCCGCTCTCTCCAGAGCACGTCAGCAGAGCTGCGGAATCGTGAGGTCATATATCCACAAGATGCACCTTTTAAAAGAGTTTCTTAGTTCTCTAGCCCCAGATATTCCCCAGCCAATGTGAAGTGCAGAGGGTGTAGACTTAAACACACACATACAAACCAGGCTCTTCCAGCGTGGGAGCCGACACAGGGAGAAGTGCTGGCAATCTGCCCAGGGACAGATACAGCCAGCAGAGGTAGGAATCGGACCCAAGGCAGGGTTCCCTCTTGAATGACAGGCATTCCTCCTGCTGCCATCTCCAACGAGCCCGTCAGCCTTTAAATCCCGCTCCCCGCGCCTCCTCCAGGAAGGCGCCAGACCTGCCTCCTGCTGGCATGGCTGAAAGAGCCCTACACCCTCACGGTTGCACAGGAGAGCCAAGCAGGGCTCGCTGAGCTCCCCAGGGACCACCAGAATCCGAGCGTCCGCTTTTACGAGGCCCAGCGGAGCCCAGGCAGCCCGGCCTCAAAGCCCTCGGGCTCTACCGCGGCCTGCCCCGATCCCAGCCCTCTCAGGAAGTGTCTGTCCCAGACCAGGCTGGACTCTCCAGGCCTGTGCCAAGAGCTCATTGCTGTCCTTCGTTAGGATCCCCTCCCCCTTGGAGCCCATTTTCAAAGCCTGCCAAGAGATGGAAGTGAACAGTGGCCAGGTCTAAAGTGAGTCTGCTTCTCCCTGCTGCCTACCCCATGCCCCAAAGGGAGTGCCCTGAGCCAGCTAGGAGGCGCGGAATCCTCCCCCACTCTCAGAGGTTCCAGATGACCTAGTTTCGAATGTGTGTGTCTGCAGCAGTCACCCAGACGTCATATGATGTCAGCCAGTGAGTTTATTTCTGGCTCTTTGTCAGCCCGGTTTCCATAACTTGTGACCAATTTGCCACCTCCTCCCACGGTGGCTGCCCAGCTGATCTCCTGTCCTTGTTGCCCTGACCCCTCCCCTGTGCCTTCCCTCTAACAGGTGGCTCCAGTCACAGCCGTTCGGAACAGCGCGGCTGACAGATGGAGCGCACAGATTCAGCCACCTCCGATGCCCTTGGCCAAGGCAGGGATCGCCCTTTAAAAGTGCAGGCCTAGATAGCAGGAGTCGGGGGGCACTCGGGGCGGGGGTGGATGAATCTCGAATGGGGGGCCACGCCGGAAGAGAGCGGTAGTTACGCCGGGCGGCAGGGAGGCTGCCTTAGGAAGGAATGGGAGCTCTGAGATGACTAAGTGTGCTCACTGGTGGGGACCATGAGTGCCAGGGCCCGCCACTGAGACAGGCCACAGTCCCAACTGTCAGGCCCCTGTCACCTGCTCACACAGTGCTTCTGGTTGGAAAGTGCCCTCCTCCCTGTTGATGGGCACGCCAACCTGGCCCTCCCTCCCACCTCTGCTGTGGCCCTGACTCTCCAGGTCAGGCCCAGTGGAAGTCTTAGGGCCGGCACTGTCTCTGAGGACCCAGACGCTCAGGCGTCTCAGGGCCCTTTCCCCAGGTAGGGGCTTACCGCCTGTCACTGGGGTGGCTTCCCTGGGCCCCACAGGCAGCACAGGGAGGCCTGGTCTAGGAGGCAGACCAGCCTGGGGTCAGCAGCACATGGAGCCAAGCCTGAGCGGTGAGAGGTTTTTAAGCCCTGATGGCCCCCCTCACTGTCGGGAAAACCAGAGTCCCCACTGTCTCTAACTGACCTCCTCTGACCAGCCAGAAGGCTAAGGTTGGGACCCACCTCTGTCCCTGTCCCTAGAGCCTCATCCCCAAAGTCCTGGGTCATCGGATGGGTCAGAGCTGGGGGCGCAGGGCCAGGGAGCTGACCCCACCACTCCACCGCTCCTCCCCGGAGGGCCCGGCCGGAGCTGCACTTGGGCTCCCTGCTCCCCAAGGCAGTGGGGGGCAGCGGAGTGCTGACTGGGCCCCCCGACACCGCATCCTGGGTACAGCCCTGTGACCCCGGGGTGGGCCCGCCAGATCAACTCTCTAGGCCTTACTTTAGAGGACCTGGGCCCCCTTCTCAGTGGTATCCATATGGCCCCAACTCCAGAAGCAGGAGTAAGGACGGTAACTAGCTTTCCCACACGGTTTTGGGCTAGTCCCCAGCTAGAGCTGGAGCAAGACCCTGCCCCGGGAGCGCGAGCTGGAAGCCCACCTGTCTCCGACAGCACACCTATTGATCAGCCCTGGGCCCCTGGCTACCCCCCCCCACCGCACCTGTTCCCCCATAGCCTGCCAGTATGTCTCCTTGTGTCCAATAGGCTTCCCTGGTAGCCATTTGTCCATCTGTCCCCGTGTCCTGCCGTGCAGACTTTCCTGCTGCACTCCGCCCGCCCCCCGCATCTGCCCCTTCACCCTGTTGGAGAGAAAGCTGTCTAGGAAAAGGCAGGGTGGTTGCACCCAGCGACGAATCCAAATGGCAAATATTTTGTAACAAGATAGCCCAGAGGTATTTTATCTGTTCAATTCATAGAGTTGTAGAGATTATATTGAAATATGTCACTTGAGCAAATTGCTCCAGTTCCGTTTCTTTCGTTGTCTCAGAGGGAGGTCCTACCTGGAGTCCAAGCATCTAGTTGGCCAGAGTCCGAAGGCAGAGGATGTTGTGCGGCCCTCAGCTGGACCGCCAGGCCGCTCTCCCTGGCCGCAGTGGTGTCCCCCTGACCCCAAGATGAGGTGCCTCCGTGCCACCATGGGACACGCTTAGGAAGCCCCATCTGAGATAGAGGAGACTTAGGTGTGTGTGTGGGGGGGGTCGTCGGATGGGTCAGAGCTGGGGGCGCAGGGCCAGGGAGCTGACCCCACCAACACCACCACCACACACCTGCACGCACACGCACACACGCGCGCACGCGCACCTCTTAGCCAGGTAAGAGAGCTGCTAACAGCGGAGACCGAGGCCGCGTTAGAGGGAAGAAACCCCACGACCGTCAGTGTGCATCCCAGCAGAGTGGGAGGTGAGGGGTCAGGACCCCATCTGCCCTGCTTGGCCTCCTGCCATGGAGAGTGGGGGCAGGTTGGGGGCCCCAGGCCCCAGTGACCACGTTTGATCATCAGCCCCCGAAGCCTGACCTTCTCATCACAGGCCTGGTTTGACAAGCCCTGGGGGGGACCCTTCCTGAGGTAGAGGGGCAACGGGCCCAGGTGCGAGGAACACCGTCGGGGAAGCTGCACAGAGCCAGCAAGCGTGATGGAGCAGACATCTGCGGGTCGCTGGAGGGGATGCCTCTCCTGCAGGAGAGGGCAATAACGTCAGCGCTGGGGAGAGAGACGAGGGGCTTGGGCGAGCATCCCCCACTATGGACAGGGCCTTCACAGAGAGCGATTTCTCCTGGCAGGGGAGAGAGGACAGAGTCTTCCAGCAAAGCCGAGGCCTCAGGGGCCCTGCACCGTGGGAGAAAAGTGACTGGCCAGGGTGGCGGGTCCGGGGACACCTGCAGAGGGTGACCCGCTCTCCTGGTGACCAGAACTCTGAACACCCAGAAATCCAGACAGCTCCCCAGGCCGGGGCCCATTCTCCCCAGTTCAAGTGAAAAGGAATATGACCTCACCCGCCTTCCAGGAAACGGGAAATTCCAGGAGAAGTCTTGGGCCAGCTATGACCTGTCCCATCCTGGGAACTCTCTGACCCAGGAATCTGAGGACGGGCCCCTGGAGAGCACCCCTGAGGGGACCCAGCTCAGCCCAGGCCTGGGAGAGGGCCGAAGGCTAAAAGGGCTCTGCTGTGTGGGAACGCAGGGCGGTGCCGCCATCCTCCAAGCCTTCTGGCCCCTGAGGTCGTCTGGAAGGAACGGCCCTTTTTCCAGTGAGAGAGGGAGACCATGGTGCTCTAACAGAAGCCCCCTGGGTCTGCCAGCCAGTGCTGCTCCCTATAGTGACCCTTTAGCTGGGGGAATCTCAGACTCCGCAGCCATTGATTTAGAACATTTCCAATAAGGGGGACCTGAGAGCAATGGGCCAGAACAGGACACCGGTGTGAGAATTCAGGGAGCAGTCAGCAAGGTTAGGAAGCCCCAGCATGCCCCAGGCACTGGGGTGGGGGCCGGGGCACCCAGTGAATGGGACAGACAAAGCTCCTGCCCTCCAGGAGCCCGCACTGAACGGTGCCGACACAAATACGCGAACGGACCAGCTCTTTCCACAGAGCGGGTAGTGGTACAGGACGGGATGGGGAGGGGGGTCAACAGCCAAGGAAGGCCTCTGCGGGGAGGCCAGCGCAACAAGGTTGAGGTCAGGTCCGAGGGCAGGGGAGCAGTTCAGAGGCCACCTCCACACGGTCGAACGACCACAGATGGATAGGCATCGGCATCAGTGGGAAAGGAGGTGGCTTGAACGCAGGCCATCAGGCAGTTCTGGAGGCCGGCCGGGTGGGGGCAGCTCCAGTCCAGAGCAAGGGCTCTTGTACGGCTCTGACTCCTGGTGGGGAGGAGCCCACCCCAGGGCCCAGTGGGCCTGCACGTAGCCCTCTGTCCACCTCCTCCCTGTCGCCCCACACCAAGAAAACTCAGGTTTTCCATTTAAAATAACAACAGGGTGGACTCCGTGGCCTATTACCCACAAGACCCTGGGGCTGGCAACTTTTCTGACCTCAGCATGAATTACACAAAATCGTGGTAGGGTCAGTTTCTCATCCCATGGGGCTGGCAGAAGGCCGCTGTGGGCCTTGGTACGCCCCGCTTCCTTCCCTCAGCCCTGACGGATGTGGCTAATTGACCCCTGCTATCCAGGAGTCACCATCAATCAACGAATGTTGGCCCCCGGGATGAAGTTAAGCTGCCACCCACCTCGGGTGTCCTTACTGAGCCACCCTGAAGGAAGCCATTTGGGATGGAGGTGATTTAGAGCAGGAGGCACAGGCAAACTCTGGGCTGAGGGAGCGGGGCCCAGGGAGGAAGCCTAGTGGCAGAGACTTGTGCCTACTATTGTCAGATTGCTTGGGGAAAATGGCTCGGGAGGACGCCTCACTGTTCCATAGCTACAAATGCTCTGCCAGTCCGATGCTCAGGGCTGCTTCCTCTTAGGGCTCCACTCTGCTCCAGCGCCCTGCAAACACCCTGCCCGGGAGGTCCTGTCACTTGCTCTACTCACCAACCATCGGCTCCTTCTCTCCTCTGACCCACAGAGTGAGCCACTGAGGTACAAGATAGCAGCCAGGGTCACAGATGGGGAGTGCCCGGAGAGAAGGAACTCAGGAGAACTCTCCATCCCAGGGCAAAGCATGGCCCGGAGGGGCCACCACCAGGCATGTCTGGCCTGGAAAGACTCTTCACAGGGCAGGGGGACGTGTTCCCTCCAGGAGAACGTGGGGCCCAACCAGAGCCCCGTGACCTGGAGTCGCAGGCTGACCTCTTCTCTGCTCCTCTCCCCTTCCCAGGAAGGAGCCAGGCCCAGGAAGAGGCCCCATGTTGTCCCAGCCTGAAGTCAGAACTGGTCCCACTGGGAAAATTCCATTCTGGAAGAAACTGGAGGATGAGGGAACTGGGCTCAGGAGATGAGGAGGATGGATGGAAACTCTTTCCTCACCCTGTCCTCCCATCCCTCCTGCTGGTCTGGGTAGCTCATTTCCCTAGAGAACCAGGCGCCCTAGCCCCACTAGCTAGCCCTGAGCACCTCCGTATTTCCTGCTTCCATGACCCTAAAGAACCTCAAGGCAGGCTGTGGAAAAGTTGTGGGAACTAGCTGCGGGAAAGCAGGAAGCCACCAGGAGAGCTGGCTCTTATTCTCACATTCTCAACTTCCCTCCCCCCAGAGCCCCCAATCCTTTCTCCTTCTAAGACATTGGGCTTGGATGTGGCCTCTCCCGCAACCCCCAAGGCTTGAGGGAGCCTTGTCCACCATCACAGGGTGGCCCATGGTCCCCGAACGTCGGACCTGGAAGCAGACAGGTTAGTCAGTCCAACCGCTTCCTCTTATGGATAAGGGGACTGTTTCCGTTAAGAAGTTAAATTAAAGCCTCAGAAAGAACAGAATCATCCTACAGGCAGTAGGAGAAAGGAAATAATAAAGACAAAAGCAGAAACAGTGAAACAGAAAAGACATACACAACAGAAAGGATTAACGGAACCAGAAGTTAGTTCTAAGAAATGACTAATCAAATTGACAAACTTCCAATTCGACTGATCACAAAAAGGAGATTCAGCACAGATAAATTAAGTTGAGGCAACAAGGGGCACATAGTTACCAATACTGCAGAAATGTTTTTTATAAACAGAGAGAATACTACAAATCCACTATAAATAAACTACACACCTTAGAACAATACGTTTGAAAATCATCACGTAAGATGAATACTATTTAGAAAAATACCTTATCAAACTCACTCAAGTATAAATGGGAAATTTGAGATAAATTGTCATTAAAGAAATTCGAACATGTATTAAAAATCTCTTTGAGGGGTGCTTGGGTGGCTCAGTCGTTAAGCGTCTGCCTTCAGCTCAGGTCATGATCCCAGGGTCCTGGGAACGAACCCCACATCGGGCTCCCGGCTCTGCGGGGAGCCTGCTTCTCCCTCTCCCTCTGCCTCTCCCCCTGCTCATTCTCTCTCTCTCTGTATCTCTGTGTCTCAAATGAATAAATAAAATCTTAAAAAAAAAAAATCTCTCTGCCACCTCCCTCCACAGAAACTACTACACAAAACCAGGCCAAATGATTCTACACAATTCCACCATACATCGAAGGAACAGATAGTTCCAATCTTTTCTTAACTTCTTCAGAGAGGGCGAAAAGAAAGAACATTCCCAAACTGCTTTTCACGAGGCTAGAGTCATCTTAAAAATAAAAACTGAACCAGACAAGGCGATATGAGAAAGGGAAACTAGAAGCCACTCTTGCTTCTGAGCATAAATATAACAATTCTAAGCAAATATTAACACACACTGAATCTGGCGGTGAATAACAAAGACTATGATAAACCACCACCGACTTAGATTGGTGCCAGGAATTAAAGATGGTTAAATATTAGGAAAAAAATCCATTAATATAATTCACCACATTAACAGATTAAAGGAGAAAAACGATATGATCATTTCGGTCGATGCAAGAAAAGCAATCGATGGGGCGCCTGGGTGGCTCAGTCGTTAAGCGTCTGCCTTC